GCGCAATGCATAGTCTATATTAAAAACTGGATGACGAGTAATTTCTTACTGCTAAATTCTGAAAAAACAGAGGTGTTAATTATTGGACCTAAAAACTCTGCATGTAATAACCTAGATCACTGTCTAACACTTGATGGCTGCTCTGTCAATTCTTTTTCATCAGTTAGAATCCTAGGTGTGCTATTTGATAGCAATCTTTCCTTTGAAAGTCATGTTTGTAAAACCGCATTTTTTCATCTTAAAAATATATCTAAATTACGACCTATGCTCTCAATGTTAAATGCAGAAATGTTAATTAATGCGTTCATGACCTCAAGGTTAGATTATTGTAATCTTTTATTGGGTGGTTGCTCTGCATGCTTAATAAACTCCAGCTGGTCCAAAATGCAGCAGCTAGAGTTCTTACTAGAACCAGGAAGTATGACCATATTAGCCCGGTTCTGTCAACACTGCACTGGCTCCCTATAAAACATAATCTACATTTTAAAATCTTGCTAATTACTTATAAAACCCTGAATGGTTTAGCTCCTCAGTACTTGAATGAGCTCTTATCGCATTATAGTAATTCACTTCCGCTGCGATCTCAAAACTCTGGCCATTTGATAATACCTAGAATATCAAAATCAACTGCGGGCAGCAGTTCCTTTTCCTGTTTAGTGCCCAAACTTTGGAACAATATACCTAGCATTGTTCGGGAGGCAGACACACTCTGTCAGTTTAAATCTCATTAAAGACCCATCTCTTTAACCTGACATACGCATTATCATATTTCACACTATCATATTTCTATAATTCAAATCCATTAAAGGAATTTTAGGCTGCATTAATTAGCTCAACTGGAACCGGAAAATTTTCCATAACACCCGATGTACTTGTTACATCATAAGAAGAATGGCATCTACGTGAATATTAGTCTGTTTTATTCTTCCAAGGTCACCGTAGCCACCCAGATCCAGTCCGTATCCAGATCAGATGGTCACTGCAGTCACCTGGATCCAGTCCGTAACCAGTCCAGATGGTGGATCAGCACCTAGAGACGACCTCTACAGCCCTGTCAGCGGAGACCATGTCAACTAGACGAACCCTAGAGACAGATCCCCTGTGAAGACTTCGTCGGCCATCGGCACAAGACCACGAGAACCAGATGAGTCCTCTGGTTGGAGCCTGGAATTAAACCACACCATGCTGGTTTCGTCTGGCCAGAAGAGAACTGGCCCCCCGACTGAGCCTGGTTTCTACCAAGGTTTGTTTTCTCCATTTCTGTCACCGATGGAGTTTTGGATCCTTGCCATTGTCGCCTTTGGCTTGCTTAGTTGGGGACACAATTTCTGGCAACACTGTTGACTTGACTGCACAGACACTATTGGAAGAAAACTGAACTGAGCTGGAAGATGACATCACTGAATCAACAATGAACTGACTTTAACTGATAAACTGACTGTTTTCTATTGTGCTCTTGCATTATCAGCACACGTTTTTCCTGTTTAACACTGTAAAGCTGCTTTGACACAATCTGTATTGTATAAAGTACTATATAAATAAAGGTGACTTGACTTGAAAAAGAAATGTGCATTAACATTGTACCAACAGATGTATCTGGAGCATAGATTAAATATTCCATCATTGCACAAATTCTATAAAACATACATAGAAAATTAATCAAACTTCTAGACACTAAATTTAAAGGTGTCTATTTATAGACAATTTTTGCAACATGTTATTCAGAAAGAATAAGATTAACCTTAAACCAAATCAAAACAAACAAAAATCTGATGACCTACCTCTGGACCTCAGATAACCCCCAAATATCTGATGTACAAAAGTGGTTGCCTGAGTTTGCCTGTCCAATCTGACAATAAATGACAATAATTCAGTATTAGACTGGATATAAGCATGCAGTCATTACAGTTAATGCACTGATGAATGAGGAAATGCTTATTTCATGCCTTATAATGCTAGTCAACTGGCAAACAAAATTGCATTGTGTGAACTCACTTGTTTCCAGGCAGGCAGGACTTTTGCATAGCATCCACTGTGTACCTCAAGAACTCATGGGCATCTTCTTGACTTCCAAATCTGAAATGCTTTCCAATCCCTGAGGATAAGAACAAAAGATCAGTGGACTATGTTATAAATAACTGTCATCCTGAACCATTCCTTATCCCTTAAATTAAAAGCACTGTGGCTGTGCTGCTTGTTTTTATATGAACTAAGTTTTAACCTTAATTATTTTGTCAAAACCCTCATCTCCTATCTAGCACCATATCTGCAGTTGTACCAACTTTTTATGTAGCACTTGAGTGTTATATTAATAGTTTAGCAGGGTAAATTGTAATTTTGTCACATGATTTCAAAGAAAATGTTACATCTTAAACTGAGCACTCACGTTTTAGCTCATTAAGCACACTGATAGGCTTAATGACGTTTCCAGAGTTGGCGAATACTTGGATGATGTGATTTTGCATGGTACACATCATGCAAAACCCAGGCTCATGACCTGCATGTAAAGAGGAAGAATGTACAGCATTAGAGAAAAGGCATGCCAAGCATATATACAATGTTGCAAAATCTTGCACACTTACATGTTTTGGAATGCTCTCTGGTCAGCATGTAGTTGGCTAGGGGAGCTGTGTAGGTCAGACACTGCAGGGTAGAGTTTAGGAAACATGTGTTGCCCAGGTTATGGAGACCTGCTCCAACGCGGTGGCCCTGGTTCCATTTCAAGCAAAGCCGCTCTGGGTAAAACAGGACTTTTTGAGGAAGAGCAATGCCATCCCCACTGGTCATGACCACTACATGGTCCAAAAAAACAAAAGGAGACATATATTACACAAACAATACAACATAACCTATTGTTGTACTTTAATAGTGGTTATACAAAAAGCACTTGCCTTGCTCTCGGGGCCTTTCTACTTGGAGTGCTGTGTTACTACCATTCAGAGTCACTCCAATGGTCGGGGCCGTATAGGCAGTCTTGGCCCTTGAAATCTCAGTGGCAGAAGGGCCAACAGTCCAGCTCGAACTACTGCTCTCCATGTCTCTGGAGGAGAAAGGTGTCAGGGAGCTGGAGTGCTTGCACCGCACTGACTCCAGGTCAGGTTTCTCTGGAGGTTTGTCAACTATGGTCATTATTCATTTTCTGTGGAAAAACAGACGTGTCAACTCGATCATTTTTGACAAGGCAGACAGATTTTTCATTGGCATGTGAAGTGGTTTTAAAGGCACAGGTTCGGGTTAAACTAGTCAGGTGTCAAATGCAACAGGTAGCTGAGAGGAAAGCAAAAACTCTCTAGCACAAAGTTGCTTTGCTCCTCAAAGGTAAAGATGTCTAGTGTAAACTGCTTCTAACCTTCCCTTACTCTAATAAAATATATAGTTTAAACAAACGGATATATTCATCAAACAATGTCCTAACAAATTATTTAAACAGGCCAGAACAATAAAACATACATAAATCATTGTTCATGTTACAGCACAGGGCCAGCGTAAACAACACTAATATATGCTAATTATACCACTTAATAAATGTGTGTTACTATGTAATATATGATTGCAATAACGTTTTTGGCTCAGTTTAAGTCTCGGCCATTTGTTTATTTAAAAAAAAATACTGCATTTCGGTACATTAAATAAATAGTATTTCTTCCAGCCATTCAAAAGTTTAAAGTCTAACGTTATATTTGTCAACCTAAAAACTACATGCCTTCATAAAAACATTTAGTCGCATAACTTCGTAACAAGTAAATACAGTGCAAAAAGACTAAAAACCACTAATACAGCATCAAAGAAGTTAACGAGTTAAATGCCTAAGACATCGCGCTAAAGTGAAAGTACAACAAATACAAGTGAATGTTGAACCCCAAACACACTTAGTCGATTCTTACTACGCAAAACAACATCTAACATTGTACGTATTTCTTTCCTTGTTAACGGCCAACCAAGATTTGATCGAATAAGCTCAATATGTGTTGATGTATTAACGCCGGTGTGTGTTGATCTACTGAGCTGCGCGCGCCAGCATGGGCCCGTGGCCTCCTCGGCTACTTCATGATAGCAATAGTTTACAGTAAACTCTCATATCAACACGTTCCACCTCAGCAAAATGTGTGTACCCTTGATTACGTCGTCAGACTCTGACACTCAAAACACAGTTTAACAACTAGTGGCGGATCCGTGTGTGATTTTGCATGAGGAAATGATCCTGTAGTACACGGTCTCCGCACGTCCGCCAAGGCGCCAACTGTTATCTGGTGTGCTCGGCTAAAGGCTTCGCGTGCGAGATAGGCCTCTGCCGCACGTTCTTTATACACCAAATACTACGGGTAAATGTATTTGTAGTGGTAATAAATGTATGCAAAATACTTGTCAGTGAAATTTAACTGGCTAGCCACCTTTTTTGTTGGCGCCAGAAGTTCAGACTGATTTAAAGACCGCGGTATTGTACGTTAGCTACAAACGCCATGGTAACGGCGAAACGTAACAATACAGATGGAACATGGCATAAACATGGTCACGCACTTCCAGAAGCCTGTCTGTGAATAAATATGATGATATATGTGGTATGTCTCTTTCACAAACATAAACAATATAACAGTACTAAATTAAATGACCCAAATTTCGAATTTAATCGGAAACAGGTAAAAAAAAAAGGTGGTGCACGGTATTTAAAATTCACCGGTGCCTTGGCCGAGAAGGCAACGCCGCCGAAAGACTCATTGCGAAACCCGGTGTTTTCAATTTCGTGCCACGCAATAAACGCAACCACACAACACGCGCTCTCCAAAAATCACCTTCAGCAATCATATGTGATATTTAAATCAAATAATGCACATACCTGTAAATGTATGATTAATTTAAATTAGTTCATCCATTCTAAAATCCAAAGAGCGTCCGGCGGTGAACAATGACGTAGTTTCCCCACGGGTCCATCCGGGTTCTTTCGTAATGTCAGCCAACCCAGTGTCGTGTGTATGTGGCCTTATTGAACGCGACCGTCAAGGCAGTGAATGTCTTTGTTGCTGTCAACTCGTCGAGAATAACAGTTTCCGTGGCTAAATTCAGAGGAGTAGTGTTTCGTACACATTTATATTACTGTAGAGGCGTTTTATAGTGGGTAATGGGTATTACTGGATCGTACGGTAGGTTGTGGCATTTCATTATCCACAATGATTTTTTTTTCTTATGTAAATCTCACTGTTATTTCTAAGTTAAAGTTTAAATTGTTCAGTATGATATATTGCATCATTATCATGAATATTAAAAATGCCCCAAGGTCATTGATAAGGCTACAAAAGTTATTTTGAAATGATAACACTGGAATGCATTAATAATTAAGTTTAAAAATGTAAAGTCATCTTAAGTATTAAAACGATAAATATTTCTGTAGTAACATGTCATTAGTATATATATATATATATATATATATATATATATATATACACCTTGGGGTATTATTAATATTCATTTATCGTTTTAATACTTAAGATGACTTTACATTTTTAAACTTAATTATTAATGCATTCCAGTGTTATCATTTCAAAATAACTTTTGTAGCCTTATCAATGACCTTGGGGCATTTTTAATATTCATGATAATGATGCAATATATCATACTGAACAATTTAAACTTTAACTTAGAAATAACAGTGAGATTTACATAAGAAAAAAAAATCATTGTGGATAATGAAATGCCACAACCTACCGTACGATCCAGTAATACCCATTACCCACTATAAAACGCCTCTACAGTAATATAAATGTGTACGAAACACTACTCCTCTGAATTTAGCCACGGAAACTGTTATTCTCGACGAGTTGACAGCAACAAAGACATTCACTGCCTTGACGGTCGCGTTCAATAAGGCCACATACACACGACACTGGGTTGGCTGACATTACGAAAGAACCCGGATGGACCAGTGGGGAAACTACGTCATTGTTCACCGCCGGACGCTCTTTGGATTTTAGAATGGATGAACTAATTTAAATTAATCATACATTTACAGGTATGTGCATTATTTGATTTAAATATCACATATGATTGCTGAAGGTGATTTTTGGAGAGCGCGTGTTGTGTGGTTGCGTTTATTGCGTGGCACGAAATTGAAAACACCGGGTTTCGCAATGAGTCTTTCGGCGGCGTTGCCTTCTCGGCCAAGGCACCGGTGAATTTTAAATACCGTGCACCACCTTTTTTTTTTACCTGTTTCCGATTAAATTCGAAATTTGGGTCATTTAATTTAGTACTGTTATATTGTTTATGTTTGTGAAAGAGACATACCACATATATCATCATATTTATTCACAGACAGGCTTCTGGAAGTGCGTGACCATGTTTATGCCATGTTCCATCTGTATTGTTACGTTTCGCCGTTACCATGGCGTTTGTAGCTAACGTACAATACCGCGGTCTTTAAATCAGTCTGAACTTCTGGCGCCAACAAAAAAGGTGGCTAGCCAGTTAAATTTCACTGACAAGTATTTTGCAGTATTAAAACGATAAATATTTCTGTAGTAACATGTCATTAGTATATATATATATATATATATATATATATATATACACCTTGGGGTATTATTAATATTCATGATAATTGGGCAATAATTGTCATGTTTATTAAGAATACTATTGAGGTACTATTTACTTTTGAGGTGATATTTACTCAGCTTTAAAGAGTCAGATAAATGGAGACTAATGCACCATTGGCATGGGACTTTACTTTACAAACCTTTTGTCAAGTTAAATATGGCACTCAATTATATACATACAAGCAGAGCTGCACTCACACATACAACCATTTCCAAACAACAATTCATATAATGTACACATATTGAGCACTTATGGCATTTCAAAAGAGTGACTATTATTATATATTTTCTGGACTGTGTATTGCATTTTGAGAGATCTGTAGCTCACTGATCTGTCTCCTGAGCTGAACAATTTCTTCTTCTTGTTCGTCAAGCTTGCGTTTCAAACTGTGAATAACCTAAAATAAAGAATGCAAACAAAGTTACAAGGTCAAACGTTTCTTCTAAGCAACAAAAGTAACTAAAATGTGATTATACATGAACTTTTGGTTTGTGTTCCATTTTGGGGGTAAAAAAAAACATTAAGAGTCACACATACCATGTCATTGGCGCTGAAGAGGTCACTCTGAAGTAACTGAGATGCACTTGGTCGCACTAAGGGATCAGAGCTGGTCAGTAGGGTGATATACTTGGCCAGAAGTGGCCAGCTTTTAGATAGAGTGTTAGGGATCTTGCCCTGCCGTAGTTCTCCAAGTGTGTGCACACGCTCCATCTCGGTCCCAAATGGCTGGAATAACTCAAAGGCAATCACTCCTATACTGTACAGATCTGACTGTACAAATGAAACAAATACTGAGCATCAAGTTTTACTACCACATTTTTAGTATGTGTCTAAGATGAAACAGCCACGCACCGAAGTCCAGCCTAAAAAACAGCAGACTTTACATTATAACCGTTTGTAACTTTACAGTTTTTTCTTACCTTTGAATCATAGTGAGAACACTCAAGTTGTTCTGGGGCAGCATAAACAAAAGTTCCCACTCCACTAGTGTGAGCTGAGTCTAGTGTGAAAAGTGTAATGAGAAATAATATGTTGCATTAGTTCACTGCTGCCATTGCTGCCATCTACTGTTACCTGCCAATTAATCAGAGGTAGTTTCGCAATAAATGGGAAAATGAGAATAATCAATGTAAAAATGTATTTGTAAATATTATAGTTCAGAATTTGTAATAACTTAAAATACTCTTGTGAATACAGAAGAGGTTACAAGGCCTGTCACCTGTGTTTACACCTGCTTGAGAGCTGGAGGGCCGCTGCTCATGTTCGTCCATTATTATGTTCTGGCAAGCCAATCCAAAGTCCCCTATCTTCACATGGCACTCAGGTCCATGAAGGAAAATGTTTCTAGGCTGTAAATAAATAAATATACTTGTAACAAACTTGCAACAAACAGACACTATAAAAACAGTAAGTGTGAGCAACCTTAAAATAATCGAAACTGAGATGCTATTAGGACTAAAAACTCTTTGATTAAAATAAATAAAAAAATCATGTGGAGAGAACCCATATTGTGCAGTTCCCATACAGATTTTGCATTATAAAATATTTTTTATATATTTTTTTTTATTGTTACACAAATAGAAGATCCACAGTAATAAATATCCAAAATTATTTTGTTAAACAGTTTTAACATATTAATCGCTTTAAAAAAAAAAACATTTGTTTAGGAATTTCATAGGTAACTGTGTATTCTAGCCTTTTGTTTATTAAAAAATGTGTGCAGATCCAAGTGGTATTCGGGCTTACTACTATATAGATTAAAAATACTTATGACAAAGCAATTCATGCTTATAAGACTAAGTATCCAGAAGAGATGCGTGAGAAATACTGGAAATACTGTGTTACCTTACTGTGACAAACAGATAAAGAGTTTGTTTGTAAGGGACAAGAAAAGTGTTTTTCAAAGTGACTATCTGCAACTAATTTTATTTTGAAATAGTTGATTGTTAAATGCCATGCTGGCTGTATACTGTTGCTTTGCAAAAGTCCAACCTGCTTTGCAAATTGTTGTGCCACACCAGCCCAATATCTGTTATCAAAACACTAGGTCTCCTCCCATGCAGACTAATGCATTTACAGTTTCAAGCCAGACATGTACTAGATATTTGTGTGGTGAACAATACCAAGTTATGCAAACCAACAAAATAAGTACACATACCTTAAGGTCTCTATGCATAATACCACGGGAATGAATGTACTCCACTCCTTCAAGTATTTTCTTTAAAATTTTCAATGCGTGTTCAGAGTCAACTGACTCACAGGGATCTGTGGATCAATGTATTGGTTAAAAAATGCTAAAATAATCCAACAACACAATTATATGCTGTGATTGAATGTTAAAAAAAAATCTGTGATTGTAAGTCCATTGTATGCTCTGGAAATCAGCTTTTCTTGTCTTTCCTATTCAGCCAATGTGTCAGCCAATGCAAAAACAGGAAACGGGTGTACTGTATGTAAGTGACTACTATATTTGTTATATAAGTGTTATATAAAGGAAGGGAATCTGAGCAATTTATAAGACTTCCAAAAAAGTACCTATTTAATGGCATTTAAAGAAAGAAGTGCAAACTCCTATGTAAACTCATATGAATAAAGTGATCTTACCTACTGACATCAAGAGTCCCTCTGTGATCCTTGAGTTTCTTTCCTGTATCCAGTCTTTCAAAGATCGCTCACACAGCTGCATTTGTATATAAAGCATTAAGTGGAATTGAACCTATAGACAGGAACAAGAAAAAATGATGAAAAACATAAAAGATTTCCTCATTTAAATCAATTGTTACATTGGAGAGCACTTTAACCTCTCTAAGAACCTGCAAGGAGATAAAAACAGATGCAATAAGGTATATTATCTCTAAATCATATAGATTTGGGGGGTAAATTACCACTATATTAACTGAATCTGTGACATACTTTACCTTCATACAGTCATCTCTTGTTACTTTCTTGATGAGAATTTTTTTCACCGCATATTCCTGACCATCGAGCTTGTTTGTGACCTAAAACATTATTATTGTTTTTAGTAAGCACCTTTCAACGTCATGTGTTCACTCTATTTAAGAGTACAATATGATCAAAACATCTCCTTACTTTAAACACTTTGCCATAGGATCCTTTACCCAGTGTTGCGATTTCTTCTAATTCACTAAGGTAACGGGATGTGTGTGCTTGGAAAAGACCATCTTTGGTTCTAGGATAGATAAGCATATCTCAGTCATTTTAAAGTAAATGTAAAAGTACTGGTAGTACACTACCATTCAAAGGTTTCGGGTCAGTAAGACATTTATCTTCAGCAAGGATTAAGTTCCATTAAGTTGATCAAAAGTGACAGAGAAGACATTTATGATGTTACAAAAGATTACTTATATTTTAAATAAATTCTGTTCTTTTGAACTTTCTATTCATCAAAGAATCATAAAAAAATCAAAATTTACACCAAAATATTAAGCAGCACAACTGTTTTTAGCATTGATAATAATAAGAAATATTTCTTGAACACCAAATTAGCATATCAGAATGATTTCTAGAGTAATGGCTGCTGAAAATGCAGCTTTGCCTTCACAGGAATCAATTACATTTTAAATAAATGCAGCCTTTGTGACTATGAGATTCTTTAAAAAACATTTAAAAACCGGATCCTATTTGACCCTGAGCCTTTGAACAGTAGTGTATATTACAAAGCAGTGTAAGTGGAGCTGCTACAAGTGTAAAAGTTTTCACCTTAGGCTCTGGCCTTCTGTACTCAAGTATCTATGTTCCTGCAGAATCCAAAAGATTAACAGGTTTTTTGTTTTTGTTCATGAAAGCAACAGCTGCATAGAAGAATGAAATTGATGATGAATTATGACGGATTACCTGGGGGAAGAGAGATGAGCTGGTCGCGTGCAGGAGCTCTGTGAATGCCCGGTTATGCTGTAGACGGACCGTACTAAACTCATCACTGATAGCCAGTGGTGACAGGAGGTTCATGGCTGCTAAACGCTGGCCTATAACTGAAACAGCAGAGGCATTTGAGAAAACAAAATGTAAGACAAATAACAGAGAATTAAAAAAATAAACAAAAGGTGCCTATTTATAAGGCAGTATCAACCTACCCTTAAACAGCATGCGTGAGCGTGCAGGATCACTCTCATAAACAAAGCACAAGTGTTCCAGTAGAGATCCCAGCAGCAGTTGGTTGGGAATGGCAGAGGCAAATTCCTGGATCGATGGATACTGTCTCCCTGCCAGCAACACTTCACAGTTATTGTCCGAGTCTGAGGCTACATTTATATGACAATTAAAAACGTTGAATACTATATGTTTGACTATGTTTGAATATCAAATACACAAAATAAGTGAAAACTAACCAAACTGAGTCTAAAAAGGACTTGGATTCGAGATTTCTTACCTTCTGCAATAACTTTGGCAATTAAAGCAATAATGTAATTTTCCCCTGAATCCATTTAGACACCAAGCATTTAAGGTACTCTCTTAACAGCTGAGCAAAAAGAAATATACCAATGCTGCATCTTCAGTGTACAGTTGGGGTGGGTAAGGTCTAAATTAACTTATCAGCTTGAAACATTTTCAAGTTACTCCCCACACCCCTAATAAGTAACACAGATGAAATATTGGAGGAGGGACATCTTAAAGATGCATTAAATCAATTTAGTTGTTTGGACATACTTTGACAGATTGTGCACATGATATTTAAAGCCATTATCATCCAAAGAGAGTAAATAACTTTAATACTAGGCTTATAAGGCCAAACTCTAGCCATGACTACAGTCATGAATGAAAGGGGCTGCACTTTATATTGCAGTGGACTCACTATCAAACTGGACGTCGTCCTCCGTATCTGTCAGGCTGAATATTCCTCCTCTTGGTCCTCTGTCTTGAGTGGAAAGGCCCCGTCGGATATGAAAGCTACGGCTGTTAGCAGTGGAAACTACACCGCTACTCGAACTTTCTTCTGTCATGAGTCTCTCTGTTGTGTGAAACATGACGTTTTGCTAAAAGACACTTCTGTTCATCCCATTCAGTAGCTCCATTCAGAAGGGCCAAAGTAAAAAAAAAAAAACAGCCCTTTTAATTAGCCAAACCCCACTTACACGTTTTAAAACTGGCCGAATAAAAATACCACGGCAAACCGACAGTGACCTGCCATGTTTCTACGGACAACAGTCAGGAAGTATCTCTAAGTTATTACAATGTGATGACGTGATGAACAACTTATGATAATATGCATCTAAACATTAATCGAATAATCATTTGATTGATTTATTGTAGTTTCTACATACTTTTATCTCCATAAACAACACAGGTTACAAGAAAATAACCATAACAATGTTGTTGTTTCAGTGTCAGTTTCGTCTAATACTAGAATTGAACTTTTTACACCGTCCCTACTCAGGCAACCACGCGCAGGATGATGAAACCATAGACTGTATAGGATGAAACTTTTAAAATAATGCATTAAAATCGGTACTTTAGTTTTATTACAATGCATCACAATCTGACACGTCAATAAAATGTAACCGATCAATAAGAAACAATAAAAAATAAAACGCATTAATACGGAAAGACGAAACAGTGCACTTTGTGTACACAGTTGATCACATGCTACGCAAAACATGTGGTGACCTGACGTTGTGCGTCACACCGCGGGAAACGTCTACAGAGAGGCAGGGAGTTATTCAGTTGTGCGCATGTTTATTGCATATGAAATACTGAAGTGTGTTCCATTATAGTTCATCAGAACTAATTCCTTGTCGAAGCATTGGTTTTTCACACTGAGCAATGAAAACACATTAAATTCCCGCTCCTTGTTTGACCTGGATACCGCAGGGAGCAGAAGCTATCAAAATACCTAAAATGCAACCCTTAAGTTAAGATTCTGTGACTGATACCATATATATTGCTACAGAAAAAAATGTCAGACTCAAGGTAAGTGTTTATAGCTTTGCATATTAATTTTAGTAGTTTGCTACATTAGAACAACGAGAAATAATAGACTATAGTGATTGATAGAGATTATCTGCTATTCTGGACATACTGTTTACTATAGTGTTGTACAGTGCTGTTCACTAATGTTTCCCTTCATATTCTGTGTTTTAAATTCCTAGCACAGGTTCTGCTGGAGCCATAAAGGCAATAGACAAACAGTCTGTGCATCAGATCTGCTCTGGACAGGTGGTGCTGAGTCTGGCCACAGCTGTGAAAGAGCTGGTGGAGAACAGCATTGATGCTGGTGCCACTAATGTCGGTGAGCTCAAGGGATGAGAGCATGAGGAAACATTGCATTTGAGGTCACGCTACATTTGGTCAAGTGTTTTGTTTTCACACAGATGTCAAGCTAAAAGACAGTGGAATAGAGTTAGTGGAGGTTTCCGACAATGGAAAAGGTGTTGAGGAGCAAAACTTTGAGGGACTAAGTAAGTTGCCTTGTGAACATTAGAGATAAAAGACTGTGGCATGCTTACACTTCCAGTTTGAAATAATTAAGATTTTTAAAAAGGTTTTTGAAAGATATCTCTTATGCTTACCAAGGCTGCATTTATTCATATTTTTAAATATATATTTAAATGAATCAATTTATTCCTGTGATGGCAAAGCTGAATTTTAAGCAGCAATTGCTCTCATCTTCACTGTCACACGATTCTTTAGAAATCATTCTAATATGCTGATCTGGTGCTCGAGAAACATTTTATTATTATCAATGCTGAAAATAGTTTTTGCTGCTTAATATTTTTGTGGAAACCGAATGATTTCTAAATGATCAGACAGACACTGAAGATCTGGAGTAATTGCTGCAGAAAATTCAGCATTGCCATCACAGGGATAAATTATGTTTTAAAATATATTAAAATAGAATGTTACTGTTTTTATTATTGTATTTTTGATCAAATCATTTCAGGTGAGCATGAGAGACTTCTTTCAAAAACATTATAAAATCTAAATGATTTCAAAATTTTGACCGGTAGTAACTTATTTGTGTCCTTTCAACTTCTGCAGCTTTAAAACATCACACCTCTAAACTAAGAGATTTTTCCGACCTGATACACGTGGAGACGTTTGGGTTCCGTGGTGAAGCTCTGAGCTCACTTTGTGCTCTTAGGTAACACTTTACTTTGGATTTGTCCTCTTAATTCTTACAATATGAGTGTGATGATTATAGTATAGTGATGATCTCACAATTGTTCATGTTCTGATATCTTGTTTTATTAATCTCTCTATCCACTAGTGATTCCTTAATGTACACTGTTTTTACTTATGATCGCAGTGATCTTAGTGTTGTGACCTGCCATGAGAGCGCTCAGATCGGAGCTCGGCTGGTGTATGACCATGATGGTCATCTCACTCAGCATGTGCCGCATCCCCGCCAACATGGCACAACTGTCACTCTGCAGAAACTCTTCTCCACATTACCTGTCCGACACAAGGAGTTCCAGCGCAACATCAAAAAGGTCTGCTGGGAGATACTTGGGTACAGGGGTTTACATCCATGTTTAGAAAGAAATTAACTAGAGTTTCTACACAGGAATATTCCAAGATGATTTTCGTCTTGCAGTCCTACTGCATCATCTCCACTGGTGTGCGTATTACATGCGCCAACCAGACGGGACAAGGCAAGCGCACCACAGTACTGTGCACCAGTGAGAGTAACGGCATGAGAGACAACATTGGAGCTGTGTTTGGACCTAAACAGGTGAGAATGACCTATTCTTTGTAGTGGATAATTTAAGAAGAGAAATTCTTGCATAGTGTTGTCAAAAGTAGCGATGTCGGTAGACCAGTCGGTACTGAAATTTAAAAAATGTGACAATACCAGCATTTCCCACTAGCATTTTGAGCGCTGTTGAGAGGATTCTTAAACACCTCTGATTGGCCATTGTGTTCACACGCTCAACAGAAATGTCTGTGATTAGCTACAATGATATGATCATTACTTCATTGCATCAGATCCATCTATGAGCAGATATATTAGGGATCCGCTGATAGATGCGGCTTCGGTATGGTCACATTTTTAAAATTTCAGTACCAACATCAGTACTTTTGACAACACTGTTCTTACACCAATATTGACAAACAGAACACACTTTGTTATATAATCATAACAAAGTACATTTATTATTATTTATCCCTGTTGTTTGAAAATAACATGTATTTCACATTTTTACTTATCCACAGCTACAAAGTTTGATTCCCTTCCAACAAATATCTCCCGGTGAATCAATTAAGGAAGACTATGGTCTCGGGGAGGTAGATGTTCCTAAAGACCTTTTTGTGTGAGTTTTTCTGTGTAAACACATGAATTTGTTTGTGCACTTTCTGCAAATAAGGTAATGAAAACCATTTTATAACTTGGAATATTCCTGTGTAAAGTGATCGTTATTGATTATATTAAATTCTAGCATTGACGGGTTTGTGTCACAAGCGGATCATGGTGTTGGTCGAAGTGCTACTGACAGACAGTTCTTCTTTATCAATAAAAGACCCTGTGATCCAATAAAGGTGTGGTCTCTTTTTTTAAGTATGCTTTTTTGTGTTCATATAATTATATATAATAAGTATAACATCATTATTGTTGTTGTTTTTTTGTAATATTTGCAGGCCTCCAAGCTTGTGAATGAGGTTTATCACATGTACAATCGGCATCAATACCCTTTTGTCGCTCTAAACATCACTGTTGCTTCAGGTAAGACTTGACAGAACAATAAAGAAATTAAATTGTATATAAAAGTGTACACTACTGTTACACTACTGTAGCATTTTATTTTAATTGATGAAAGGTGTCAGTAAAATATTTACAATGTTACAAAAAATGTATTATTAATAAACTCTGTTCTTCTAAACTTTCTATTAATTAAAAATTCATATACAGTATATATATATATATATATAACAGATTCCACAAAAATATTAAGCAGCACAAATGTTTTCTTGGGCAGTAATGGCTGCTGAAAATTCTGATTTGCAATCACAGAAATAAATTGAATTTTAAAACAATTGCAATAGAAAACAGTTATGTTAAATTGTAATAATATTTCACAATATTACTATTTTCACTGCATTTTTTATCATACAAATTGAGCCTGGGTGAACAAAAGAGACTTATTAAAAAATATAAATCCTAAATGCACTTAATTTATTGATACTTGTCATTTATCACTAAAAGTTTTAATTCTTTGTTTCACATTAGACAGAACAATAAAGAAATTAAATTGTATATAAAAGTGTACACTACTGTTACACTACTGTAGCATTTTATTTTAATTGATGAAAGGTGTCAGTAAAATATTTACAATGTTACAAAAAATGTATTATTAATAAACTCTGTTCTTCTAAACTTTCTATTAATTAAAAATTCATATACAGTATATATATATATATATATATAATAACTGGTTTCTATTGTAATTGTTTTAAAATGTGTATATATATATACAGTATCTCACAGAAGTGAGTACACCCCTCACATTTTTGTATATTTTCACTGCATTTTTTATCATACAAATTGAGCCTGGGTGAACAAAAGAGACTTATTAAAAAATATAAATGCTAAATGCACTTAATTTATTGATACTTGTCATTTATCACTAAAAGTTTTAATTCTTTGTTTCACATTAGACTGTGTGGACGTGAATGTGACTCCAGACAAACGTCAGATCCTTCTACAAGAGGAAAAACTCTTGCTGGCAATTCTGAAAAGCTCACTCATTGCAATGTTTGAGACTGGTGTCAATAAAATCAGTCTCAATCACATTACTCCAGCAATTACCAGTAAGTACATCAGACCTTTTAAGACATATTATATGTTGTCTTGAAGTGTTATTACAGATGTTGATGTTGTTCTTCATTCAAGACTTGTGTAGACCAACCGAGACAAGTGCTGGTTCAGAAGATCGGGAAATAGGTTCTGTCTCTGAAGCACTTCCAGATGATGAACCCCCAAAGACTTCCATCAGTCTAGCTCGACTTAAAGAAGCATTTTCAAACCATCAGTTTCCTGGAATTGGGTCAAAGCAGTCTAGTCATAAAGCTGCCTGTTCTGGTTCTTCTCAGAAGAAGATGTTTTCCTTTGTGAGCTGCTCTAAAAAAATGACAGACATTATGAGGCCACCTTTAAAGTCCTCTCCAAGTTTCGCTGCTGTTTCTTCCATAAAAAAATCAACTGTTTGTCTAGCTAAATATAAAAGCACCTTTGATAGTGATGCTGAAGATTCTGAGGCTGCAAACCAAAATTCAGCTGAAGATGATCCAGAGATTTTACATGAAAACAA